AGGAGGAGGATTTCAGCCTCTGATAAACAGAGTTTCTGGCTCCAAAGACACCGGTAGCTTTTAACCTGATCCTCATGGTTCAGAGAGCAGAGAGGCCTTGTTGGCAAGCCTAACAGGACCCAGTGGGAGGCCCCATGAGATCTCGAGATGCTGTGTGCAAAATAATGATTGCCTAAAGCTCACCCTTACTAGTTCTGGTACTCAAAAAAAGTGGAGGGTGCTCAAATTGGGGAGGGATGAACTTGCCAGCCTCTACCCCATGTTCCCACAGGCACTGGTTGTACCCATTCTGCCCCCAGCATTGAGCAAGAAGGCCTTCAGTTGTGTGCCCTTAGGAGCCTCCTTCTGTCATGGCTTTGGACCACCTCTCCTCTGGTAACTGCGGTTCTGAGAAGGAGGGGGAGGAGGGGGAGGAGAACCCACCCCCAGGTCTTTCCTGTTTGGAACTGTTATCCCTGGAGCCTGCATCCCCTTCTCTGAGACTGAAGGAAACACTGCTAGCAGATGTTGATGGTTGGTCTACAGACCCCTCAGGGGATCAAGCAATACCACAGCTGGAAAGTCCATTACTCCAAAAGGAGCTAAGAGGAAGGGTCCTTTAAATAGTCAGGAGGCTATTTACTCACTGGGTGGGGCCTCCAGTCAAAGGCTCCCTTGTGCTGCTATTACAACTCAGCCAGGTCTTTGTTGAGGCAACTTGGATGGTTGGCCTCAGCTCTCAGAGAGCTATCTGTGGTGCTGAACCCAGACCTTAATCTCCCTCCAAGGGGCTAACCTTTGCCTTGCTCCTCTGCCTGGACAATCAGCAATGTCTGACCTCTCCTTGTTTGGCCAATCACCCTCCTGGGTGGTGGAAGTCCCTGTGGACTGTGACTGATCAACATGGGACAGTTGGGGGAGTTAAATGGGGGTGCCTGGTGTGTTCACCTCCTGCTCAGTTTGAGCTCCATGAATTCTTTTTGAAGGCCTGAAGGGGGCTGCTCTATCACTGTTAACTGCCCCACGGCATCAGGATGAAGCCAGCTGAGTCAGGGCAGTTTTACTTGGTGACATTTCATTCAGTAATTGTTTCCTTTTTATGAGGTCTTGTTAGTGCCATGATTGGCATGAAGTGTATAACAGAACATGACCTTAAGAGAGAACTTTTAATGGGTTTTTCCGCAGGCTGGAGGGTGCTACGTATGAGATGCAAAGTCTATGGGCTTTTCCACAATGGTTGCAATTAATAGATTGCAGGTCCATGGACCTATTCACCTCATTAGGGAGGATAATAAAGGCAGGCTTCCATTTTACTGGCCTTGGGCTTGTTCTCTGCTGTTCTTCAGTTTTGTCAAGGACATAGACTGAAACGATTTACCTTGTTTAGTGTTTCTTTTCCCGACTGTCAAAAACTGCCTTCCATTTTTTGGCACCACTGATGTTGTCTTTGGGCTGCCTTTGTTCCCCCATTGCTATTTCCCTTTATGGTTCTTTCCCTTCATAGTACTCAACCTCCTCTTCCTTCACTGCTGATGTATTGGCTGTGACAACCCATGTGATTTTGTTGATGATGTTACAGAGTGGATGGCAACTAAGGTCAAGGGCAGTGAAGAAGAAGAAGAAGAAGGAGGAGGAGGAGGAGGAGGAGGAGGAGGAGGAGGAGGAGGGGGGAATTGTACCAAGAAGCAATAGGCAAGGGAATAAGCAACGCATTGAAACAATGTGAATTTGAAGAGCAATTCAAGAAGAAGAAGAAGAAGAAGAGTTTGGATTTGATATCCCGCCTTTCACTCCCTTTAAGGAGTCTCAAAGCGGCTAACAATCTCCTTTCCCTTCCTCCCCCACAACAAACACTCTGTGAGGTGAGTGGGGCTGAGAGACTTCAGAGAAGTGTGACTGGCCCAATGTCACCCAGCAGCTGCATGTGGAGGAGCGGAGACGCGAACCCGGTTCCCCAGATTACGAGACTACCGCTCTTAACCACTACACCACACTGGCTCTCCAATTCAAGTTGAATAATTTCACTTTTTTGTTAAAAAATGAAGTGCCAGTTCTCATATATTTATAGAGGTGTCGTGGGTGCCAGCCCAAAAGTTCCAATACTCCATACTAGGGAGTCCTGTCACAAAAAAATCCCTGACTTCCCCATTTTTTGGTGGATTTTTTCCTCCCCCTGGAGAAATTCAGTGGAAATGGTCAGCACACTTTCTCTGCCCACCAGCATGTTTTGAGAGGCCATTTTTGCTGACCACTCTAAAAGATCCTCCTTCTGCTACCCATCTCTTGCTTCCTGCACCATGGAGGCCTCCAGCTCTGCCATTTCGCTGTCCTCTACTGCACTTTTCCCAGTTATCTTCAGTAATGTGAGCTATGTGTTGTGGGGAAAGTTCTGTCTCCACCACCTCATTCCTTGTTCCTTCCTTTGATGTCCAGGCTTACCTGTCTGCATTGTTCATATCGAGGGCACTGTTTCACCTCCAGCAAGGCAATCATCATCACCTTAATCACCATTTCTAATGAAGCTCAAGCTCCTTTGCAGTACTCCAGCCCTTCAAAGCATTGCTTAGTACAAATGCTGGTTAACCACAGGGTTTTGATGTTCTCGTTTTTATGCCCTTGCACTTTCTCCTGACCACCACATTGTTGCACACATTGTTGCAAGTAGCTCGCTTTCATCAAAAGGCTCCGTCAGTCGATTTGGCTCAGCAAGCTGCCATTCAAAAGTCCTTAGCCTGATGTTGGCAATACTTGTGCGGTTGAATTTGAGGAATGTTGATCGGGAAGCTTGGGATTCTGATTCTGGCAAGACTCCCATGGTGGTGAAGTGAGGTGTGGCAAGACAAGTTATCACAGGAAAAAAAACCAAAAAACTATGCACTGAGCAGCCAATGGAAGCATCCAGTTATGCCAACCCAAAGTGGCAGGAAACTGTCACATGAATCCTCCCAGCCAATCAGGAGTCTAAGGAGGCAATGCTAATATTTCCCTGCTTTTCTCACCTCCGCCAGCAGGGGGTCAGTGCTAACGTGCAGTCACTGTATTGTAGAGGAGACCCTGGTTCAAATCTTGCTACCAGACAAAAAAAGTGCTCAAGGCCAACCACCAGGCAGCACAGCCAATCCATGATTAGTGGTCTTTTTTAAAGGATTGTGCTATTTTAGGGATTGTATGTATCTTATGTTATTTTATTTGCTGTTTTAATGTGTTGTAAACCACTTTGAGATTTTTTTTTCTTAATAATGTAAAGTGGAGTAGAATTGAAAATCATCATCATCATCTTTATCTATTTGATGTTGTTGTAAGCAGACCTGTTTCTTGTGCAAAGGGCAGTATATAAATATTCTAAATAAGTAAATAAACATGGAAATGGGGAGGGGTGTAGGGGGGATTACTGGTATATATAGCCATAGCCATTCTTTGTCACCTAAAGCGGCCCAACCCTGATTACAGTTGGAGAGGTTCCATGGCTGAAGTGAAGGGTGGTGTTCATTAGGACTGGTAGGGTGGAATTCAGGGAGGTTGACAGTAGGGGGAGCCAGAGCAAGTTGCTAGGCAGTGAGGCAGAGCCAACTAATCTTGTTTTTGTCCCCAACCACCTCCCTTCTGGCCCTTCTGCTTGCTATTTCTGCCTATTCACCTATCCTCTCTGAGCATGTGACTAGGGCTGTGTCATCCATTCCAGGCAGTTCTACATATTGGGGTAGGAGGGAGAGCAAAGGAATGGGTAGTTGGGAGAGAATCAAGGGGGGGTAGTCCCACTGGGGGTATCTTGCTCAGATGGGACCCCACAAAATCCAGAGGCGGTTCTGTGTTGCCATCCTGTTCACCACAAGTTTGAGTTTTTGAGAAGTTCTTTAGCAAAACCCAGTAGCTCCAGAAGGAGGTGGGAGGAGACAGAGAAGAATGAAAGGGTAAGCTGATAACTGAGAATGTGGCTGGAGGATATCCATTAAGCTCCCTTTGAGGACTGGAATCTCTGTCTGTGGATGAAAGGGTAGATAGAAAAAGATGTAGAAGAAAAAGATTCCAAGCCAAAAAGCCCAGGTCTCAAATGTTATTACAAGAAAATTCTTAAAATTCTTGGAATGTAACTGCAAGGTGAGCTGGGAGTAACGCCTTTGTTTTCTGGGAAATAGCCTGGCTAAATTCCATATCTGCAGCCCTATAAACCTGTGTAAAAATGCCTGATTTCTTTAGAGGAACCAACCTAAGCTGAGGGACTCTCTGCTGGGTTTTCTACCTGCTCCTTTCAGCAATACACACAGGTCCTGCTATCCAAATGCTCAGTATATGAAAATTCACATACTCAAATCTCGCTATACACACTGCAGATTCAGATACCCAAACATCTAGACCTGCAAATAGTACTGTAAACAGATTATCAGCCTTAAACAAGCCTTACTTTTTTGTGTGTTTAGCTGGCCTGCGGCTTTCATTTCATCAAAAACCATGATGAGAGGGAGCAGGGAGGGAGAGATTGCACAAATATGAAAGCATTTCCCCCCTTACTTTTTGCCTTCTGCAAGGTTTCAGAGGGTTTCCCTGGGTTTCCCCAGGTTTTTTCATCATTTGTGGATCAAAATTCCTTGGTTGGAAACGCATTAAAAAATTTCCAATAGGAACCAATGGAAATCATCAAGTTGTTATACAAACACTCACCTAACAAACAATTTCCTGAGAAATTGTGTTTGGATAGCAGGACCTGTGTGTAAATTGCTTTAAATAAAGACAGATCTTTGCACCCCCAAAACAATCTTGAAGTCTGGTTTTTTTCCACAATAAAAAAACACTGGTTCTTTCCCAATTTTATCCTTTCTCGAGGAATCCCACAATGATTACATTTTTGAGAACCCTAAATATACAACCATGAAACAATCTCATGTTTTATAGGAAATAATGCTTTATTAGCTATTAGCAAGCAAGGCAGTTGACTGTAAAGGTCACCTAACAGTGTGCTTTTTCTTCCTTATCCAAAGGTTTCATGTAGATGCACACACATACATAACAGTAAATGTGTGTTGTTTTTGTTAATTTGGAAAATTTGCTGATAACTATTTTTTTAATAAAAAAGGAAGGCATACTGCAGAACGCATGAAGATTCTGTGATGTTAAACTCTCTCAGTTGTATCCACAGAACTATAGTCTTGGGGCACTATTGATGGCAGGTTCTTTTCAATAGCTGGACTGTTTGACCTGCTCACGAGTAGAGACGACCTTTCCATCTTCAACCTCCTCGACAATCATGCGGACTTGACGTGAGGTCTTCGTCACTGCAAGAGAAGAATTGGAGAGAGGGTTTATTTCCTCTTCAGATGTTTCATAACTTCACCAGATAACTCCATCTCAAAAAACAGAATGATCAGGAGGTGAGAGGACCCGAGAAGCTTATATAGGGTCCTCAGCCAACTGGGAGGCTGAACTGGGAGCCCATCAGGCCTTGAGGGAAGGAACAAGGAATGCTGGAAGGTTTCTGTTGCTTTCTGGGCCTGTGAGCAGAATGGTTAATGTTTCCGTTTCCACATACAGAAGACCCCAGGAAGTTGCTCCTGATATTATTTCATAACTTGTCTCACACACCACTTGATTGTAAAAAAAACACAACAACCTCAAAGCAGTTTGCAAAATATATGTAGTTGAGAGACAAAAGTAGGATGTCTTACAGGGATGGGAAACCTGTGGGTCACCCCCAAATGTTGCTGAACTCCTGTCAGCCTTGGCCGTTGGCCATCCTGACTGGGGCTGATGGGAGTTGGAGTCCAACAACATCTGGACGAGCACCTACTCCCCGTCTGTGCCCTGTCATAATAGCAGAGATGAGTACCTCATCTACTTTCCTCTTATCTACTTGGAATTGTTGGGGGAAACAGGAATTGTGTGGGCTGGGATGTCATTAATAGTGCAATCCTAGGCATGTTTGCTCAGAGTTCAGTGAGTTCAGCATGACTATGGCTGCACACACATTATACCTTTGAAGCACATTTGAAGCATATTTTCTCCTCAAAGAATTCTGGGCACTGTGGTTGCTAGGGATTGCAATTCTATGGGGGTAAACTAAAGTGCCCAGAAATTTTTGAGGGGAAGAATGATTTTCAAATGTGCTTTAAATGTATAATGTGTGCGCAGCTTTACTCCCAGTAAGTGTGTTTAGGAAACCATCATAATGTTTTTCTGAACAGCCTGAAATCTGCTCAGGATTCTGGCCAAGGGTGATAGTAACACTGCAATCCAAGATGGTGATGTCGGTGAACAGCGCTCTTTGATGTGCAGATATATCTTCATCCTGACTCACTTAGCAGTGGCAGCAGCTAACATCACACAAGATGAAGGGTCTCAGGGTTCAGATTATCTCCTTACCATTTGTGGTGGTCCTTCAGCTACTGTTTTTAGAAGGCTACTGGGTTTGGCTAAAAATGGGACAAGTCAGGGCCTCTTGAAAGCCTCTCCTATATTTCCCCCATAATCTGAGAATTGAACTTTTTTTAGTTGGCATGCATTCTTACCATCTCTTCCGGCCACAGCTGCGTTGTACTGGGAACTGATGCTGTAAGAAAAGGAGGAAAGAAACATGGCCAAGTTAGAAATGCAGACTGCTTTTCTAGAATACATTATGAAATGCCAGTGTGATAATACAAAAAAAAAAGGAAATCCTAAAAATGCATCTTAAATATGGAAACAGGGCTGCGTACCAATTACAATGTTGTTCGTTGATTAGATAATCAAATAATGAATGGACCTATTAATGCCAGCACCACCAAAATCTGGATAAAATTGCCTTTTAAGATATTGAAAGACCCTCCCTGTTTTGCTCCACGTGAGCTGTTTTAAAACTCCCTTCTTGCCATCCCTCCCCAGCACAGCCATCCCAGCCCCTCTTTTACGTACTGGGCCTCCTCTCCCTCCAACAGGCGGCGGTAGGTGGCGATCTCCTGTTCCAGGCGGGTCTTGACATCGAGAAGGATCTTGTATTCGTGGTTCTGGCGCTCCATGTCGCACCTCAGCTCAGCCAGCTGCTCCTCCATGCTGCTGATCATAACCTGGATCTGGGCGAGCTGGGAGCCATAGCGAGACTCTGTATCTGCCAGGGTGGCTTCCAGTGCTGCTTTCTGGGGGAAGAGAATTGAGAGGAGGGTCACATTCATTGCTTTGAGAACTTTGGAAGATTATCAGGTATATAGCAATGACAGTAGTGGGCTGCACGCTGGTTTTGTTATGTACTGAAGTTCTCACCCTGGGCCAGCAGGGGGATACTGTAGATAGTTATGCAAATAAGCGATCGAAAGTTATGTTCAGTGATTGGGTAGTTTTAGAAAATTGTTACAGTTACGTTGTAATGGAGCTCTATATAAGCAGGCTGACTGAACCCTTCAGTTCAGTTCTGTTGTGGCCTGTGAATAAACAAGAGCTGTTTGAAGAATCGCTGTGTCGTCGGATATGTTCACCCACAACTTAACAGGTTTCATGAAATATTTCAAGGAGGGATGGAGGGAAATTGATTTTGGTTTGCAAACCAAAACACAACTATCCTTCAAAATTTGCACTTTTCTAGATTTTGTGGTGCAGCTTCCTAACCAAATAATATGCATATATTAGAGGAAATTTCCACAAAATTCATTATGTTGAGGGATGTCGCTTGCAAAAAAAAGTGTCTATATAAAAATGTGTTTATCAGGAAGAATTCAGACAAAATTCTAAAACCCCTGCACATTACTACTGAGATGTGGAGAACTGGATTTAAGATTGGAAAAATGAGAAAGTGACAGAAACCAACATTGTCAGATTTGTCAAATCAGGTATAGCATCTAAAGTCCTTAGGTAAATGCAGATGTCCAATCAGCAAATAGCTTTGGGTTATGGAGCCTGCTGGATGAGACCAAAGGTCTCTCTGGCCCAGCATCCTGTTCTCACAGTGGCCAACCAGATGCATGTGGGAAGCCTGAAAGCAGTCCACAAATGCTTATGCCATGATAAAAATTAGTGTTTAAGGTGCCACAAGACCACAAGACTCTAGGTTGTTTTTGCTGCAGTAGAGTTACCGCTCTGGAAATTATTACACAGCTTTGTTGTTGCATTCATATTTCACCCAAGAAGCTTAAAGGAGTTTCTCTCACTCACTCACAAAGGCACACATTTCATCCTCATGAAAGCTCTACCGGGTGCAGTAGGATGAGAGATGGTGACTGGTCCAAGGTCACCTAGTGAACTTCATGACCGCATGGGGAGTTGATTCTGGGTCTCCCTGGTCCTAGTCTGACAAACTAGCCATGAAACCACATTTTCATCATCCCATATTAAACTTCTGCAGAGCCTCTAGGCTATGAGACAAGAGCAGCAGGGCGACTCGCTCCATCGCTTCTCAGTGCCACACCTCTGACTTTCTCACCCATAGAACGCAAAGACTGCAATCTGATACAGTATAGTGTATATAGGCTGCACACTTCGCCGGAAGTAAGTCCTACCTAATTCAACGAGCTCAATAGACATATATAAGATTGCACCATTTGTCACCACCAACCTATCCCATTGAGTTCAATGGGATTTAAGCATAGTTCACTTTTGAGCCCTGGGTGTCTCTGTGCTCTTAACTACCTTTTTTTTCCTTGAGCTATTGAGGAGCAGTCAAAAGCAAAGTTGCACCCTGTGTAAGGACACACTAATGATATTGTCCAAAAGAGGGGAAGTGGGCAATGTTACACAATGGCCAGAAACACACCGCAAATCATTCAAATGAAAAGCTCCTACTTCTTGGACTGTGTCACTGAGATAGAGCCAAGGGGACTTTCAGAGACACATCATCCTCGTTCCACGTGCCCCCTTACCGTGCTGAGTTGAGTCTGCAACTCTATCTCCAAGCTTTGGACGCTCCGCCTCAGTTCTGTGATCTCCGACTTGCCGCTCTGCAGCTGCTCTGTGTGGATGGCAACTTCACGGTTCAGCTCTTCGGTCTGCAAGGAAAAGGAGAACACATGTTGCTCACATGAAACTCAGAGCACCGAGTATCCATTTGAGAACCCGTGGCACTCTTTTTTTTCCCCTCCAGAAAGCCCCTTCATCCTGAGAGGAAGTCCCACCTTGCTGAAGAACCACTGCTCAGCATCCTTGCGGTTCTTCTCTGCCAGGTGCTCGTACTGCTCACGCATCTCTGCCAGGATCTTGGTCAGGTCCACTCCAGGAGCAGCGTCCATTTCCACGGAGATCTCACCACCCATCTGGCTTCGGAGGACAGCCATTTCCTGGAAAGCGAGGAAAACATGGAGTTTATTAGCTTTGTTTTTATTTTGTTTTTTGTCCTCTACTCTGGGTTAAGGAGGGAACTGCATGCAGATGAAGGTGATGAATGGTTGGTGAAGGACCCTGTGTGAGATGCAGGGAAGGGAAGTTCTCCCAGGGTGGGAGGTTGGGAGAAGAAAAGGAAGGTCCCAGGTGAGAGCTGAGAGGGTTCACCTTTTTCTGTATGGGACAAGAGTTAAGATCTACCTGTGAGAGAGGACTCTGCATTCTATTTTTACTTTCTTTTTTTAAAAAAATTGTTTAGATCAGTTTGTTTTTTATTGTAATGTATTCTGAACATTCTTAATAAAAATCTTATAAAAAAGAAAGAATGTTTATTTGCTTATCTGTTCCAGCTGTGACATGGGAGTCCAAAACCACATAGAAAAGTGCCTTATGGCAGATTAGTCTACTTGTCCAAGTTGTCCATTTCTCCCAAAACAACTGGAAGCAGCTCTCCTGGGTTTAGCAGGGAACCTTTTGAATGCAAAGCATATACTCCACCACTGAATAGAGCCATGGTCCTTTGAAGACAGGCTCTGTCTTGGTGGCTAGCAAGCAGGCTTTGACCAGCTGCTCAACTGCTGTGAATTAGACTTTCTGCACACCGTCACAAGCCACCCTAAATGCGGGTTTGTCCCGGCACTCCAAAGACCAGATCTTGAGCATGTCAGTACAGGCATATGACTGGTTGGTTATGGGACTGAAGCCAGCAAGCGTAGGATGCTTTACTTGCCACTGGCCATGTGATACAGGTTCAGGGCAGCTTTGCCTCTCACCTCTTCATGGTTCTTCCTGAGATAAGCCAGCTCCTCCTTCAGGTTCTCAATCTGCATCTCCAGGTCTGCCCTGGACAAGGTCAGCTCATCCAAGACTCTGCGCAGCCCATTGATGTCAGCCTCCACATTCATGCGCATAGCTTGCTCTGTCTCAAACCTGGAAGCAGAAAAAAGGACAGATTAAATTAAGATATCCCCTTTTCATATTGTTTTGTTTTGTTTTGTTCCACATAGTTTTGCTTACTGTATTTCCATGTATTAGACGAGGTTTTTTGGCTCAAAAGTATGTAAAAAAACTGGGGTTGTCCAAGGCACAGATAGTGGCATGGGGGAAAAGCTGTGTGCCACCAGCCAGCTGGTTGGCAGGCACGCAACTCCCTCCCCATGCCGCTGAGGGAGATGCGCATGGCCTAGGGAGCGTTTCTCGCCTGCAGTGGTATGGGGGGAGTGGCTGCCCACTCTGCCAACCCCTGGCAACGGCCCCGCTGGGGTGATGGCATGCAATTCCCCCTAAAAAAAGCTCAACAACTTTGGGCCCTCTCCCCTCATTTTCTTTAAATTTAGTCCCCCGAAATAGGGGACGTCTTATACACAGAAAAATACAGTATTTGCTTTTTTCAGACTAGTTGTTCATGACAGGCCTTCAATTAAGTTTCCTGATATATGAGATGTCAGATTATCCAGCCTCCTTTGTTGGCTTCCTAATCCAGCCTGCTAATTACACCTTGCTTGTGTTTCTGGACCAAACTCTGTCTTTCTAAACCTAATTTTTCTTTCCTTGCTCCAACTTGTTGAGTGGCTTTTAGAACTGCCGTGGAAGCTGTTGGCCTATTTGAATCCTAGCACCAGTGCTTAATATGGCTGAAGCAATTTCATCAGTCCAGGGAGCCGTAGATTGGAGACCTGTTCGCCAAATCAAATGTTTGTTCCACCTGCTCATGGTTCATACATATTCTGCGGAAGCTCAACTTACTTGGTTCTGAAGTCATCGGCTGCCAGGCGGGCATTGTCAATCTGCAGGACGATGCCAGCATTGTCAACAGTGGCAGCTAATATCTGGGGAAAGAACAAGTAGTTTTAAAGAGAAGTCTTAAAGAGGCTTGTCTGAATTATGTACTCTCTTAAGTATACAGGACAAGAGCAGGCATTAAGTGATGCCTAGGGTGGCAGTTCATGGCACCAAGGTAACGTGCATCAGGTCAGCCTGGATAGCTCAGTTGGCTGGAGTGGGGTGCTGATAATGTCAAGGTTGCAGGTTCTATCCACATATGGGACAGCTGCATATTCCTATATTGCAAAGGGTTGGACTGGATGATCCTCAGGGTCCCGTCCAACTCTACAATTCTATGATCTATCCAACAGGCTTACTCTACCCATCACTGCCACTATTGGGTTGACCATATTAATAGCAATCCCTACTAATCCCTGTGGAACACCCTCTCATCAGATGTCAAGGAAATAAACAACTATCTGACTTCTAGAATACATCTGAAGGCAACCCTGTTTAGGGAAGCTTTTAATGCTTGATGTTTTATTGCCTGATTATTATTATTATTATTATTATTATTATTATTATTATTACTATTATTACTATTATTATTGTCACCCAAATAAATGGATTATGATAAACATGAGGAAACTGGAAAGCAGCCTTTGCCAACCTGCTGCTTGCCAACTGTTTTGAATTACAACTCCCATCAGCCCTAGAAAGCAGAGTCATGATGCCTGGAAGTTGCCAGATTGGCAAAGTCTGCTGCCAAGCAAGGAAAGAACTTGTTCTCTGATGTTGTTATCCATTGGCTGCTCCTCATTAGGTGCCATTTTCAAGGAAGGACATCAGTAGATCAAGCAATGGATAGAGATTTCTGGTGATCCATGAGCAAACTCAGAAATCTCACTCAAGGCATAGATGATTGATAGATAGATGATAGATAGATGATAGATAGATAGATAGATAGATAGATAGATAGATAGATAGATGATGGATAGATAGATAGATAGATGATAGATAGATAGATAGATAGATAGATAGATAGATAGATAGATAGATAGATAGATAGATAGATAGATAGATAGATAGATAGATAGATAGATAGATAGATAGATAGATAGATAGATAGATAGATAGATAGATAGATAGATAGATAGATAGATAGATAGATAGATAGATAGATAGATGATGATAGATAGATAGATGATAGATAGATAGATAGATAGATGATAGATAGATAGATGATAGATAGATAGATAGATAGATGATAGATAGATAATAGATAGATAGATAGACAGACACAAAAAAAACATTTTCACAATGCCCCTCAAATCAAATAATTGCATTGTTTCCTGAGTTGACTTCCCACCCTCAATTGACTCCTCCACAGTGTTTTTCCTCAAACCTTGTCTACTGAATTATATCTTTTCTGCTGCATTACATCTTTTTTCCAAAAAGTTCCTCCTCTATTACAATTGTTTAGGTGAGGCCTCTTTCAAACTCAGGCTGCATTCAGATACTCATTTACACAAGGGTAAGTGCCACTGAACTCAATGGGATGTACTTCTGAGTAGAAGCATATAGGATTGTGCTGTCAGCTCCTCATCTGTAAAATGCAGGGTGGGCAGATAGAAAGGGGGCAGGATACTCATGCAGAAGAGGGGGTCTCAGCTGGTGTAGCTGGCATGGCAGCACAGAACTGCTGAAGTTCCACACATCATCAATTTTATTGCATTTATATCCAACCTTTTTTTCTCTCCAAGGAACTCAAGGTAGCTCACATGGTTCTCCTCTTCACTTAACCCCCACAACATCCCTGTGAGGTAGGTTTGGCTGAAAGGCAGTGACTGGTCCAAGCTTCATTGCCAAGTGGGAATTTGAACCCTGGCCTCCCAGGTCCTGGTCCAAGCCAGCGTGCCACCCTGGCTCCCCACTCTCATCAGTATACCTGAAGGAGCGTCTCCACCCCCATCATTCTGCCTGGATGCTGAGGTCCAGCGCTGAGGGCCTTCTGGTGGTTCCCTCATTGCGAGAAGCAAAGCTACAGGGAACCAGGCAGAGGGGCTTCTCGGTGGTGGCACCCGCCCTGTGGAATGCCCTCCCATCAGATGTCAAAGAGATAAACAACTACCTGACATTCAGAAGACATCTTAAGGCAGCCCTGTTCAGGCAAGTTTTTAATGTGTGACATATTAGTGTATTTTTGGTCTTTGTGGAAGCTGCCCAGAGTGGCTGGGGAAACCCAGTAATAAATTATTATTATTATTATTATTATTATTATTATTATTATTATTATCATCATCATCATCATCATCATCATCATCATCATCATATTAAAGGTGCAGGATCAGCCTGCCTCCTTTTGCACCTGGACCCCCTGGTGAAATGCAGCTTACTTGACAGGGTTGTTGTGGAACGTGGAATTGAGCAGGTTTGCATTTGTTTTATTTAGCCAGTTTGCTCTTCAAAGAGCTCTCCTAATCTCTCGTTTCGGTCCAGTGAAAAACCGTTGCTCCTGCGCCTTCTCATCGCCCTGTCACTGCGACACTAGACAAAAGGGTGAGCTGCGTCAGAGAGCTCTCCTCTCCCTGCCCCGGGGTGCTTCCAGCCCCTCCATTATCTGAGCAGCTTGGCAGAGGGAGCGCATACTTGGAACGCAAGTCATATCCGCCGCGCATCCACAAGCCCAGGGTCCTGTCAGCACAGACATCACTCACGGCCCTTGTATTCCTTTTGGGTGCACCTGAAGTGGTGCCCTGCAGCCATGCGCTCTAGCTGGTAGCTTTCTCTTGCGGTTGTCATCCTCCTAGGGATTAGCTCAACTGGAAATTAATCCAGTTCCATCCCTCCACCAGTCCACACCCTTCACTCTTAAAATAATTAGAGACCAAGGGTTTTAGAAACTGTGGGTCCACACCAGGGATGTAAAGCACACCCAACTTGCCCCAAGGAATCCTGGGAATTGTTAAGGGAACTAGGAATCATGGAGAAACTACAGTTCCCAGGATGCTTTGGGGAAAGCCATGTGCTTTAAATGTACATTGGGTGTACTTTATATGTCAGGTGTCCACCTGTCTCACAGCCGGTTTTTCTAAAGCAGCTGAGCAGCACTTCAAGTACCTAATGGGTTGTTACATAGATGAGGGCGAAGAAGAAGAAGTTGTTATCTGCTTCTTTAAAAGGAAGAACTGGATCTAATGGTTTTAAGCCGCAAGAGCATAGATCTCAGTTGACCATTAGGAGAAACCTCTTGAAGTTACCAGCAGTTAGACTATGGTGCTGTTTACCCAGGACAGGGATAGCCAACATAGTGTCCTCTGGACATTGCTGGACTCCAGCTCCCATCCACTCCCCCACCCAGCCAGCATGGCCCTTGGTCAGGATGATGGGAGTTGGAGTCCAACCACATCTGGAAGGTCACCTCATTGGTGCCCTGGACTTAGGGGTGGGTAGGCTTGAAGCAGAGGTTGGAGGACAGGCATCTGTTGGGGATGCACTAACTGGATTTCCTGCATCAAGAAGGGGGTTGGACTAGATGGCCTACAAGACCTCTTCCAGCTTGGTCGTTCTGTGAACTTTCATCTCCCTGAAGGTTATATGGGGTTGTTGTTTTAATCAGAATCTTAATCAAAAGGATTAGATATGATGTGTTCTGGAGGAAACCTCTCAGCTGTTGGTTCATTTGACTTGACTCTACAAATGTCTCACTGGTGGACCAGAAATCAGGATGCCCTTCTTGCCCCTCCCATGATGAGCTGGAAAATGGGGAAGGGCCGTAGCTCAGTGGATAGAGCATCTGCTTTGCGTGCAGAAGGTCCCAGGTTTCAATCACCAACATCTCCAGGTAGGGCTATGAAAGACTCCCTACCAAAATCCTGTAGAGTGTTACTGCCAGTCAGTGAAGACAATAGTGAGCTAGATGGACCAATGGTCTGACTTGGTATAAAGCATCTTCCTACATTCCTCTGTGCCCTACATTTAGAAGGCTTATACCACTATCTAACTTAGGTAACATATCTCAATTGCACGACATAGCTTAAGTTCAGGAGATCCACACCTCTGAGTAAGAATCCATTTGTACCCCTAAGATTATTTAAGCATGCAATAATTTTTAAAAATGTAGTGTGTAAATAAGAGAAGGATATATATGGAAACATGAGCATTATATGGGGCAGACGACAGGATAAGGATTTGTTGCAGCTTCCTAAGAAGCATCCGGATGATAACACACTTGGCCACATAATGTGTGAGAAGCCCTAAAATGTGAGCACTCTAGAGATCTGAACCCCCACTTCCCACAGCAAGCACCAAACTCTCCATCGCACCCCAGTTTCATACAGGAATTGCAGATAGCTATTCTTCTTATGTGCAAGGCAAATGGTCACAGCTGCATTGCCACAAGTTGTTCTGGGCTCTGTAACAGCTACACATGCATACGGGCTTAAGCCAGAAACCAGTGGAAAGGGTTCAAATGCCTTAATAGCCAATGCTTAGGTTTGCAATCTGGCAGCCTGGGAAGCCCTTATTGCTGGGCTCAAGGATCCCTTGAGCATCACCTCCACAGCAACTCTTTTTTCAGCTACCTTACTCTTCTTTTCTTAACTGTTTTTACACCATTGCATTGCAAACGGCCCAAATCTACAATTCAATGGTTCCAAAGGCTCTCTGGTTTGCCATTTACCTTGCTCCGCAGATCCTCGATGGTCCTGAAGTATGGGCTGTAGTCACGCTCTGGACCTGGTCCCTGCTTCATGTGCCACTCCTTGATCTTGACCTCCAGATCGGTGTTGGCTTCCTCCAGTGCCCGCACCTTGTCCAGGTAGTTAGCCAGGCGGTCGTTCAGGTTCTGCATGGTTTCCTTCTCGCCTCCACCCAGAAGGACATCGCCGCCACCAGCGACAAAGCTTCCACCATAGCCTCCACCAAACCCACCACCAAAGCTGCTGCTGCAGAAGCTGCCACCATAGCCACCACCAAGGGCACTGCCTACCCCATAGCCACCCCCAAGGGCACTGCCTACCCCAGAGACATAGCGAGAGGAAGAGATGGAGACGCCACCAGCTCCGCCATGGATGCTCGGGGCTCTGTATCCGCTGCCCAGATGGACAGAGGAAAGCCGGGAGGAACCCCCAGCAAAGGAAGGCCCCTTCATCGAGGAGGAAGAGGTGTATTGCCTGTAGGTGGTGGTCATGGCTGCCAGGAATTGGAGACACCCAAGAGAAATGTTCTGACTACGTTCTAAAAGGCTGGAGAGAGCTAGCAGCTCCTTGTCTGTATTCTCCTCTTATATCTGAGACAGAGGCGTTGCCACAAGGAGTGGCGTGGGTGGGTGGGGGTTGCTCTCCTCTCTTTTCCATTCCCTTAAGGTTTCATCACCCCGGGCATCCAAGCCAACTTCCCAAACAATCCTTTTCCTCCCTGCGTTTATTCATGCCTATGTCACATTCCAGAGGGCGGACTTTTCTTTTTATTGAACCGTTCCTTCTTTTGTTTCCGAAAAGAAATCGTCAGCTGTTACTCAGCCAAGGTGGCTCTTCCACCCAAGGCTATATCTTTTTTTTAAAGGGTTTCTGTACCAGGAAGGCTATGGAATGCAAGTAAGAAAGAATAAAGTATTTGGAGACTCCGCCCTGGTGTCTTTCTGAAAAGTCAGGGCATTCTGCCTTTCTCGTGTTTTTCTTGGCTCCCACTGCTGAGTCTTTCCTAAGCACCCATATCCTTCAGCACCTTCTGGAATGTGGAGTGTGTGGACTCTGTCTGTAAAGCAGGGTTCAGCCAAAGACTCTTAAGAGCGTATAACCAATGACCAAGTGGAAGGATAGGTCTGCTGGCAAGACTTCGCTTGGCCGGGAACTGAAAATCTCAGGGCCAGACAGCAAACAAAGCTTATATTCCATCACAGCGTCCTTGTTGCAGAGGTTTAGTTACATGCAGGCATCAACAGAGGACACCCCCAGAACCTCTACTGCAGGGTTTTCCAGACTTGGGTCTCCAGTTGTTTTTGGACTACAACTCCCATCATCCCTAGCTAATAAGACCAACGGTCAGGGATGATGGGAATTGTAGTCCAAAACAGCTGGAGCCCCACATTTGAGAAACACTGCTCTAATGGAACATAATCATCATTTCTAACCCACCCTTTTTTTTCCAAGGAGTTCATGGTACTTGGTTCTCCCCCTCCTCATATAAGACACACACCCCCAACAAGCCTGCAAAGTTAGGGCTCCCAGATGTGTGTTTGTCATTTGAAAGGAGTATAGAAAAGAATGACTGGGAGGGTAAGGGTTAAGCACCCTCCCATCTGCCCTCTCTTTCTTGCAAATTGCGCCCTGGCCCTGTATTGGTTCTCTTGGTTCTCATTTTTCCAGGCTTAAATTTTTGCAGCAAATATATATCTTAGTGCAAATTTCATATACTGTTTTGACTAATCTACACATTTTTATGCACACTTTCCCCCAATAGCTGCGTATTTGTGAACAAAGGTTGGAGAACTACACCTCAGACTTTGGATAAGTGCAAATTTTGAAAGATGGCTGTTTAGGTTCTTATATTTGTTCAGAAAGTGCAAATTTGATAAATTCAGTTTGAAATGTGAACTGCGTCAAATTTCTCTCCCTGCCATTTTGCTCTGGAGAGGTGACACCCTGCAACCTTCTAAATATTGCTGGACTACAAATTCCATCATCCCTGACCATTGGCCATGCTGGCTTTGGGGGGCATAGAGTCCAACAACATCTGGAGAGCACAGGTTGCCCATCCCTGTTTAGCCTGTCTGAGTTGTGGAACTCTGCATAAATCAATCCGCCATTGGTTCTCCAGATGCCACAGCACCCAGCATTAGTTTGGCCTAGATCAGTGTTTCCCAACCGGTGTTCCGCGGCACACTAGTGTGCCGCGAGACGTTGCCTGGTGTGCCGTGGGAGGGAGGCGGGCGAGTCGGGCGGCGAGAGGCGGGGCGGCGGCGGCATCTCCTGCTGGATGCAAATCCAAACATGGCGGGCGCCTCCCTCGCTCCTTTGTAGGCGGACCATCGAGAGAGAAAGAAAAGGAGGCGAAAGAGCGAGAGAAGGCGCCTGCGCGGAAAGAGGAGCGAGCAGTGCGCCTGCGCACCGCGGCGCCCGAGTGCAGTGAAATTCCGTGAAGAGGGGAGGGGGGGCTGGAAAAGAGAGAAAGGAAAGATTTTTCATTTTTTTTAAAAAAAAAAAAAAAGGAAGAGGGAAAGAAGAGAAAAAGCGGCAGAAGCTGAGGGGAAGGTTTCCGTGAGGGAGAGAGAGAGAGAAACGCGGGGCTGGCGGGACCCCTCCTCTTCCGCCACGCGTCGCCCGCCACCGCCTCAGAATCTCCTCAGGAGCGGCGGTGGCTGCTCCCCCTCGCCCCCTTCCTCCCCCCCAGCCCCCTCCCAACCCCCGGACGAGGGACGCGAGGCGGCGCCGCTGAGAGGACGGGAAGGCCCCCGGCGGTGGGGTCGGCTCGAGCAGGGAGGGGCGAGCGCTAGCCGGCTGGCTCTAGCCCGGCAAGAGGAGGAGGAGGAGGAGGAGCACGCCGTCGCTTCCACAGCGGCCGCCCCACACTCCCCTCCCCGGGCACCGGCGGGGAGAATGACGGAGCTCCAGTCCACGCTGCTACTGCGGAGACAGCTGGCAGGTCGGTCCGTCCGTCGGTCGGGGCAAAACAGCGCAGGCAGAGGCAGGCAGGCCCGTCTCTCCCTGCCCCCCCTCGGACCTGGCCGGCCTGGGGTTTGCACCCCAAACATTCATGTCCACCCCAGCTACACAAGCCACACCTTGCTCTCAGTTCAATCTGTCAAATAACTCACCTATCATTCACATAAAGAACCTAGTCTATCCTCAAACGTCAGAATGTACCTCCTCTCTAGCTTCCCCCACTTCATCTAGGCACTTTCAGCCCTTACTTAACCCACCCCAGCCTGCTTACTCTTCCTTCATTTGCTATAAAAACTAAATACAGAGAGAGACTGAGAGCTGTTGACGAAGAGCTACGTGTGTGTCTTTCTTCGATTCCAGCCAGAATATCAGCTTTGTGTTCAGCCAAACAGGCCCACTGGCGCACTGAATAAAGTATTTTATAATTTTTCATATTTCTGTTTACTTACTATTTCATAATAAAGTAATTATAAAATACTTTCTTTGTGTTTATTTGATTCCTATTAAAGAGAGTTACTTTATATATAGTCAATATAGGCACAGAGTTAATTTTTTAAACATTTTCTAATGGTGGTGTGCCTTTGCCCAAAAAGGTTGGGAAACACTGGCCTAGATCAATACAGTGGTACCTCGGGTTACAGGTGCTTCAGGTTACAGACGCTTCAGGTTACAGACTCCACTAACCCAGAAATAGTACCTCAGGTTAAGAACTTTACCTCAGGATGAGAACAGAAATTGTGCAGCGGCAGCAGGAGACCCTATTAGCTAAAGTGGTACCTCAGGTTAAGAACAGTTTCAGGTTAAGAATGGACCTCTGGAACGAATTAAGTTCTTAACCCGAGGTACCACTGTAAATAGGTCTCAGCCCCAATGAGCTTACAAACCAAAAGCTAGGGGCGTGAAGAGAATAGAGAGAAATTAAATTGCACTGGTCTTATGTTTCTCCCTCCCTCCCTCCCTCCCTCCCTCCCTCCCTCCCTTTCTTTCTTTCTTTCTTTCAATACCAATATATTCCTGAGAGCCATTTCACACGCTGCACAGCAGTAAGCCTACATTTGCTAGCAAGTCCAGTGGTCAGGGATGATGGGAACTGTAGTCCAAAAACAGCTGGAGGCCCAAGGTTGGGAAACACTGCCCTAGACAATGAGAAACAGACAAATCTAGCTTTCTGGCAAATGGAACTGCATGACATACTTGCTTGCAAACACCTTTTGTTTTATTCCTTCTTGACACTCTAGTTATACACCTAGAGATGTAGAAAGAGGCGACATCATATCAGACCCTTGGCCTGCCTAGCTCAATACTGTTGACACTGAATGACAGCAGCTTTCTAGGATTTTCATACGGTGCTCTCCCAGCCCTACCTTGAGATGCCCTTCGGAACAGAACCTAGGACATTCAACACGCAATGCATTTGCTCTAACACTGACCTATGACCCATCTCCATGCTGAAAGGGCAGTGTCCAGTGGCTCTAATGCCTTACTTTTGTAGACAGCTCTGAAAGCGCTTGGATGCCTGGCATTGTTGCAGCTGTTGCAGAATCCCAGGTCCTCTCGCCACGCCATCACTAAGTTTCTTGATGATTAATTTTAAGTTCTAGGAGCATTCATATGTCCAGCTTCATGAGGGTAAAAATGTCTTTAAAATGTTACACAAGTGTCAGGCTTTGGGGAATTCTATCCCTCCCACGGTGGCAGCAAAAAAGCAGAACAAAGAAGAGTTCTTACCAGTTAGTTTATTCAATAATCACAGCGAGAGACAAAGAAATGCAGTCTCTCTATACAGTGGTACCTCGGGTTAAGAACTTAATTCGTTCTGGAGGTCTGTTCTTAACCTGAAACTGTTCTTAACCTGAGGTACCACTTTAGCTAGTGGGGCCTCCCGCTGCCACCACCGCGAGATTTCTGTTCTCATCCTGAAGCAAAGTTCTTAACCCGAGGTACTATTTCTGGGTTAGCAGAGTCTGTAACCTGAAGCGTCTGTAACCTGAGGTACCACTGTAGTGGCGTTGCTCTACATTGTCCCTATTCTATGTCACCCCTGCATCAGCTAATCTGGACTTTCTGCCTCTGAGCTCTCTGTTCTAATACCCTCAATACCCACCTTGTCCTGGGAGGGGGGGGTCAGGAATGCTTTCCAAGGACACTGAGTCTGTCAGCTGTCTCTCCCCTGATACTTTTTCTTCCTGTTGTTCCTCTCCCAATATTTCCCAGCTTCTCCCCTCTGCAGCCTCTGAACTATGTCCTTCTGCAAACCACTGTTCTAAATCTATACGGTCCTCCTGTTCTCAGGAAGGTTCAGGAGAAGGGGGAGGCAGCCCCCACCATTCCTCCTCAGTCCAGCCCCTGACAATAAGTGAACTCCAGTGGCTATGATCTCATACACACAAATTTGAAGTTTGGGGTTATCCAGTGGATATGAATGATGTAGCAAGCTGCTGCTTGTTGTGCAAATCCACTGCTGAATTAGCCGCATCCAGTTATGTCATTCCACTGGAACGGCCAATTGCATGTATGCACAATGAAAGTACGCATCATACCGTTGGATTGCTATGACTCTAACCGTGCTCCACCTTAAGCATCTATTTGCCAGCTCAGAGCTCTGCAAGAAGGTAAAGGGGGAAAACAGGGATGGGCGGATCAGTCTATTTCAGGTCCAGGTCAGTTTCACATGCAATTCATTTATAAATCTGTTCTGTCCTGTTTACACAGTAATCTATGTATTGGGGGGGGGGTTAAGAATGCACATGGACATTCATGCTCAAACTCTAAATACATATTTTGTACTAAAAATACATTTTTCATGTATGCTTTTATAAATATATATTTATCCTTGAATATGCAGTTTGGTGCCTTTTCATTTTAAAA